CTTAATCTATTTTACTTAAGTTTGACTTACTTTTTTATTTTTTTCAAGATCATAGAAGGTCAGAATAGGTTCAATAAATATCGAAAGGGACACAGGATGACACGAAAGGTTTATTGTTATTATTGAGGTCCATTACCAAATTTTAAAGCATCAAGAATCCTGATTGTTTGGGAACCGATCAATTGTACTAGGTTCTGACCTACTTTTATTAATTTTTTAACTTCATACATCGTCAAAATAGGCACAATAAAAATTAAGAGGGACAGTGGATGACTTAGGAGAAACTCTGAAATTTTTAAAGACTATAAAAAAATTGTAGGGCATATGGAAACCTGATTCTCAAGCCCTCAATCGATAATACTTGGGTTTGTCATACTTTTATTGATTTGTCAAGGTCTTACAAGGTCAAAATAGGTTTATCAAAAATTTAAATGGACGGATATTAACTTAGAAGTTACCTTGTAATTTTTTGAGACCATAAAATAATTTGAGGTCATCGAGAAACCTGATTTTTTGGTTCTAGATCTATTAATCATCGGTTTGACATACATATCTTGATATTTCGAGGTCATGCAAGATCAAAATAGGTTTAATAAATCTCAAGAGGGACAGAAAATAACTTAGGAGGTACCCTGTAATTTTATAAGACCGTAAAAAAATTTGACGGCTTAAAAAAACCTGATCTTTAGGGCCTAAATCAATTGTACTTGGGTTTGACCGTGTTTCGTTAATTTTTCAAGGTTTTACAAGGTAAAAATCGGTTCAATAAAAATTACGAGAGAGAGAGAATGACTTAGGAGGTACTCTGTAATTTTATGAGACCAAAAATAAATTGAAGGTCAGGAAAAAACCTGAATTATTAGGCCTCATTCTATATTACTTGAGTTTGACCTACTTTTTTGTATTTTTTAAGTTCATAAAAGGTCAGAATAGGTTCAATAACTATTGAGAGGGACGAAAGATGACACAAGACGTGTACTGTAATTTTTAAGGGACATCAAAAAATTTTAGGATATCGAGAAACCGAATTTTTTGGGCCTTAATCGATAATAATTGTGTTTGACCTAGTTTATTGATTTTCCAGGTCACACAGGGTGTGAATAGGTTTGATAGAATTTGAGAGTGACGGAAGATGACATAGGAGGTACTCTGTAATTTTAAAGGACTAGATGAAAATTTTAGGGCATAAATTAACATGATTCATTGCGCCTAGATCCATTGTTCTTGGGTTTGACGTACTTTTCTTTATATTTTAAGGTCATACAAGGTTAAAATATGTTTAATAAATATTAAGTGGGACAAATGATGTCTTAAAAGGTACACCGTAATTTTTGAGGACTATAAAAAAATTTAAGGCCATAAAAAAACCTGATTTTTTGGGCCTCAATCGATAATACTTAGGTTTGACCTACTTTCATTGATTTTTGAGGGTCACACAAGGTCGAAATAGGTTCAATAAGAATAAATAGGGACAGCAAATGACTTAGAAGGTAACTTACGATTTTAATGGCCCATCGAAAAATTTTAGGGCATTAAGAATCTGGATTTTTTGGGCCTTAATCAATTGTATATGGTTTTGACATACTTTTATCAATTTTCAAATGTCATACAACTTCAAAATAGGTTCAATAAAAATTAAGTGGGCAGTGGATGACTTAAGAAGAACCCTGTAATTTTTAAAGACCATAAAAAAATTATTAGGCAAATAGAAAACTCATTTTTAAGGCCTCAATCTATAATACTTGGGTTTGCCCTACATTCATTAATTTTTAAAGGCCATACAACGTCAAAATAGGTTCAGTAAAAATTGAGAGTTACAGTGGATGACTTAGAAGGATCCCTGTAATTGTTCAAGACCATAAAAAAATTTTAGGGCACGAAGAAACTTGATTGTTAAGGCCTCATTCGATAAGACTTGGGTTTGAACTACTTTCAATAATATTTAAACGCCATACAAGGGAAAAATAGGCTCAATAAAAATTGATAGTGAAAGGATACCTCAGGAGTTATCTTGTAATTTTATATGACCATAAAAAAATTTTAGGGCATAAATAACCTTATTTCTAAGGCCTCCATCGATAATACTTGGGTTTGACCTAATTTTATCCATTTTTCAAGGTCTTACAAGTTCAGAATAGGTTTATCAAAAATTTAGATGGACGGAGGATAACTTAAGAGGTACTCTGTAATTTCATAAGACCATAAAAAAATTTGAAGCGCATTAAGAAACCTGATTTATCGAGCCTAAATCTATTCTCCTCCGGATTGTCATACTTTTTTGACATTACTGATTTTTCAAGGTCATGCAAGGTCAAAAATAGGTTGAATTAATTTCGAAAGGGACCGAGGATGTCTAAGGAGGTACCTCGTGATTGTCAAGGACTATGACAAAATTTAAGGGCATAATGGAACCTGACTTTTTGGGCCTCAATCGATAATACTTAGGTTTGACCTACTTTAATTAATTTTTGAAGGTAATACGAATTTCGAATAGGTTCATTAAAAAATCAGAGGGATGAAGGATGACTCAGGAGGTATCCTGTAATTTAATAAGACCACAAAAACATTGAAGGGCATGAAAAAACCTGATTTCTTAGGACTAAATCAATTTTACTTGAGTTTGACCTACTTTTTCATATTTTTCGAAGTCACTTATGTCAAACTACGTTTAATAAACATTAAGAGGGACGAAAAGGACACAGAAGGTGCCCTGTAATTTTTAAGGGGCCATGAACAGATTTTAAGGCATCAAGAAACCTTATTTGTTTTGCCTTAATATATTGTAATTGTTTTTGACCTACTTTAATTAATCTTTTAAGGTCATACAAAGTCAAAATAGGTTCAATAAAAATTTAGAGGGTCAGTAGAAGACTGAGGAGGAATTCTGTGATTTTGGAGGACTACGAAAAAATATAAGGGCATAAACAAACCATATTTTCTTGGCCTTAATCCATAAAACCTAGGTTTTATATACTTTTATTAATTTTTTAAGGTCATACAAGGTCAAAATAGGTTCAATAATAATTGAGAGGGATAGTGTATGACTGAGGAGGTACCCTCCAATTTTAGAGGCCCATTAAAAAATTTGAGGGCATAACGAAACGGGATTTTTTTGGCCTCAATCGATAATACTTGGGTTTGACCTACTTTTATTAATTTTTCAAGGTCATAAAACTTCAATATATATTTGACGATTATTTAAAGGGACAGTGAATGACTCAGGAAGTACCCATTTATTTTTAAGGACGATGAAATAATTTGAGGGTATAAAGAAACCTAAATTAGCGGGCCTAAATCAATTGTATTCGGGTGTTACGTGTGAGCCTACACCTGGTCATTTACCTGTCACATAAACAGACCTCCGGACTAGCTCAGCGTCTCACTGAAAAATACTTAAATGTTGAAGAGGGTGTGGGTCGCTCAGTGAATGAAGAATACACGTGAATTACGGTACTAATTGTTTATTGGGCGTCCCCAAAGCATGGGAGTTACCCGAAATTGCCCTGAGAGTCCCTTTTACAATCTAATTCTCTACAAAAACGATTCTAACTTGATACAATATTACTCGATAAATGCAATACTAATAATTCTATAACAGAGAGAGAGATGGGACAGCAACGAGAGTGAGAGTCTTCGAGGACTATTAATTTCGATGCTCATTAGCTCAAAGTAAAAAAAAAAAAAAAAAAATTACTCAGAAAAAAAAAAAATAATTTTCATAAAAAAATTTCTTAAACAATTTCCCCCTCCTCTTCTTCTCTTTTTTACAATTAGTAGCTGTGGGAGCCATTAAAAAAGTGATAAATTGCACATGCAAATACCTGTTTGAATATGTCTGTATATACTGTGAAGTTGTTGATTATAAAAAATAATTGAACGTCAGAAGCTAAAATTTATTGAATCATTGAGGTGCGTTTTTCTGTCAATTATCAATAATTAATAAACTATAAATAATTTTACCATCGGTGATTTTATTAATAAGTGTGATATTCAAATAAGAAAAGAGTATAAAAATATTAAAAATTATGAAACAAAAACTCGCGCTTGTACAATGGATCGGTGGATTTTAGGATAAAACATACACGCCTGGTGTTCCAGTAGATTGGATTTTAGCCTTTAATCTCGAAACATTTGATCCGGCGAAGGAGCCTGAAGACCACTCATACGTCGTGCAGTGGTGTGAAAGCAAGTCTGGCAATGTCCCTAAGTGCGGGTGAAAATTTTACGATGCTTAAATTATTAGAGTGTCACGTAAGTACAAATTATTTACAAAATTAACCTTCCGTGAACATTACGGGTGGGCAAGATGGAGAGGGCGGGTAGAACGAATAATTGTTCCAAAATCGCTGGTCGGTTGATAAAAAATTTAGACTGCAATAAAAAACGGTAGGTCTAGTTACATACTAGATTGATAGATTGCAGTCTCAAATTTTTCTATCGACCGACCAGCGATTTTGGAACGATTATTCGTTTTACTCGCCCTCTTCGTCTTGCCCGCCCGTACCCTACTATAGATAGAATATATTATTAAAAATTGTAGGTTTGATTAAATAATTTTTTTTTTATTTCAGGTCGTATCAAAACGCTGGAAAATGAAATTAAAACTTTAGAAGGTGCTGTTTCGCCACTACGTCCAGTCCAGTTGCGAAAGGAGATTGAACGACCTGGTCAAAAAAATTTGGACCCCCTGTACGACTCGGAGCGGGAAGCAGGAGACAATGAAGAAGATGTGCATGCAAATCATGAAGCAGTGGAACTGGAAGAAGTTGTGGTCGCATCAGGATGCAAGTCTACAGCGTCGGTAAGTATTTTTTTTTTTTAATTTTTAGGGCAAATAATGATTTTGTTATATTTAGGGAGTTGAGTACATAAAAAGAAAAAAGAACGAAAAGGACAAAGGCCCAAAAGACCAAAGGAAGAGCAACTAAACGGATGCTGAGAAACGCAATTCAGCTGATGTACCCGGAAAGAGAAGCTGGACCGAAAAGAAGGACAACGAAATGGAAAATGATAGTGACGGGGGTGTGGAGGAGAGTAGGTCAACTAATAAGCGTACAACAAAGAGTCGAGAGGAGAAGGAAGATAATGGAGCAAGAAATCAAGATGATCTTTCGAGTACGGACGTGGATGGAGGTGGTGGAGGTACTGATTGTTGAAAAGCACTGTTCATAGATGAACCTGATGAATTTGAAGCTTTTCCAGACTTGACTCGATAGAATCTAATTAAATCTGATAAGATATTATCAGATCTGATAAGTTTTTATTGAGTCAAGTCTAGAAAGATGTTTAATTAATCAGATTTATCCACTGATAAAAAAATTAACTTGACTAAAGAGCCAAAATCTTGAACCAAGAATAACATTTTAAAGAAAATGATTTTCTTGAGTCAAGAGGATTGTAAAATGCTGAAAGAGCGGAAAAACTAAGGATCAGGTTTCGGTCTGTTTATCTCAATTAAAATACAAAAATTATTAACAAAAATAACACTAGATATTTATTAACAATAAATACACTAAATATTTAACTAGTTCAATAGCGGATTGGTTAAATAAAAGCGGATATGTAATACACAGCGAGGTTAGCAAAAGCGAAGCCGGTTAGCACGTGGTTGAATAAATTGCCGGCACTGAAAAAAGTGGTAATTATTGCACAAATAATTGTTAGTTATCTAAAACAAACTAAAGCAAATTATTAGCAAATTAATCAAGCCAAGAAAATTATTTAAAGGCGAAAAAGCGGTTAATTTAGAAAGCGAAATTTATGTATGCGAAAATGCGACTTGACAAGCGAGAAGATGGATGCGAAAGATAATAATAACAATTCGTCTTCTTCTTCGTCGACTTGGGGAAGAAGGCTATTGCACATGTCTAGCGAGAGCGATAGCCAATCAATAAATTCGTTCTATTGATGTCGACATCGATAGCCAATGGTACAATTCGATACATGTGGCGTGATCAGTCAAGCGGTTTGCGCAAGCGGGTGAGAAATTGCGGGAACGATCGCTTGTCAGGTGTGTGTTGTAAATTTGGGGAGCCCACAGTGACGTATTGCTCACTGAGTGGGCCTGTTCACTGAACAAGGATGAATTCTTGAAACAAGTAAAATTTTCTTAGACCAAGAATAATTTCTTGACTCAAGAATTTATTCTTTCGACTCAAGAAAATCATTTTCTTTAAAATGGTGATCTTGGTTCACAATTTTGGCTCTTGAGTGAAGTTGATTTTTCTATCAGTGTCGATTAGGGTGTGCCAAAATGTAACTTCCTTGATGGACCTCTTAAAATTGGAATTTTGAGTTCCGCTTTTAACAGGAGTTGTGTTTGGGCATTTCCGGCCAAATTTTGGGCGTAAAGGATTTATTTGATTTTTATAGAGTTTTTTATCAGGAGTTTCGTTCGGCCATTTTTGCTGGAATTTAAAAATTTCAAAATTTAGCCAAACAAAACTCCTGTTAAAAAATTCTATAAAAATCAAATAAATCATTTACGCCCAAAATTTATCAGGAAATGCCTAAACACAAGTCCTGTTAAAAGCAAAAATCAAAATTCCAATTTTAAGAGGTCTATCAAGGAAGTTACATTTTGGCACACCCTAGTATCGATATATGGCATCTATAACCTAAATATGATCAGATTCTATTGATTCGAGCCTGGGGGAACGTCGAATGTCAATGAATTCGATAAGATTACAGCTCATTCAGACTTGACTCAATAGAATTTGATCAAATCTAGGTCACACTAACCAAATATCTCCAGATCTGATCAGTTTTTATTGGGTCAAGTCTAGAAAGGCGTTTAATTCATCAGATTTTTTGATATTTGGCATCTATAACCTAGATCGGATCAGATTAAAGTCTGAGAGAACTTTGAATATCAATAGATCTAATGAATTTAGAGTCTTTTTAGACTTGACTCAATGGAAATTGATAGAATTCTATGATATTTGGTCAGTTTGACCTAGAACTGATCAACTTTGTCCCCAGTCTATAAAAGTTTGATCAGATTGTAATATTTTCACTGGAATTATTCCTGATATTATTACGGTTTCTATGTCTGGTTCTTACAACTGTCAATTATATTATCCTATTCATAACTACTGCCAGATAATCGATCTCTGATGCGGATCTTGTCAACTTTGAGTCGAGAAGTGAAGACAATGAAACGGATTCAGCTTCAGATGGAAGAGAGGCATGATAACCAACCTCCGCCACCCAATGCCAGAGTTTGGACATTTTCTTTGAGTATCGCAAACGCTCACAGTAAAAATTTTTTCGTAACATTCAACACAAAAATTTGTATTGATGACTTTTTTTACACAATCAGTGTTGAATCAACATACTAAAATGTTAAATTCTACACAAACATTTTTACACTTTACACAATGAAGGAAAATTTTTTACTGTGCTTAAGTTAAAATTTAGAAGAAAAATTTATAAAATCTTATTTTTATACGCGTTTGCGATTTTTTCTTAATATTTATATTATTTAAGATATACCTTATTATATTCACAATCATAGGTGGAAATTGGTCGTGCTGGATCAAATGTCTTCGTTAGTCGTGACCAGTGGAAAACGGCCAACTCTCGGGCGAACTACTCGTCGATGGGAGTCGCTTTGTTCCAAGCTTTGTTTGAGACTTATGTAATGCTTCGCAGTAACCTAAGAGGAGGATCTAGTAAGATTGATAAAAATCAACCCCGTAGATTTGCGTTGGATCAAGCAATCATCACAACAATTACTGGTTGGTATTACTTTGAATCGATCATAAAAGATCTTTGATTAAATGACTTGAATCTTAGTGCCAGTATCGAAACAATTTCAGTCAAAAGAATTCAGATATCTAGTATATGCAACGATTTTTTGTCAATGCTAACTGAATCGTTATGTCGGCTGTTGGTTACATACACTACTTACAGAAATTAAGAGAATAAAAAAATGAGAATTTTTTTTAGATTTTCAATGAGCTGTATTTCAGCAAAAAATGATCATATCGCAAAAATGAAATATGCATTTTAAAGCTCAGAGACTCTAATCTTCAGATCTTAAGGTCAAAATTTTTTAGGAATCAAAGTTTTAACATGATGCGAAGAAATAGAGCGAAAAAAAATTATCTAAATTTTTGATTTTTTTTTCGCTCTACGGGCTCGGAAAAATTTTTAACTTTCCGCTAAAAATCTCAGATTTTCGAAAATCGGGAAGTTATTGGTTTTACCCCGTTTTGCAAAAATCGAGTTTTCATCAGATCTCGACGTTTGAAGGTAACCGGAAGCTTCCCTGACTATCCCGCGAGGTTGTCACGGTGTCTGTATGTGTGTGTGTGTGTGTGTTTTGTCGAAAACTATCCAATGCGGATAATTCCCGTAATTGTTTTTTAAAAATATGATGAAGTTGGGATTAGGAAATTATGTAATAATACTTGGATTTTTTAGGGAACAATTTAGAAGAATTTATTTGTCCCCAAAGGAGGAAAACCCAGCTAGGCTGGGAAAAACCTCCTTGATGAAATTATACAAGTAAATTGTGTGTGTGTGTGTAAGTGTG